ATAAAAAGTTTTTATAATTTAGGATTTTTATTCTTTAATTATTAAATTACAATGAATATCGCACAAAGTATAGAATCTTATATTAAATAACTGTTTTAATTACACGAATGTTTTTCTGCATGAAAATTTCAAACATTTTAAATAATTTTATATAATCAAACGTTTTAAAATGCATTTTAATGATCAATGTTTATCTGAAAATTATTTCAAATTGACTGTATTTTAAATAATTACTTTCTAAAATAACCTTTAAACATAAACTATAAATTATTATATTTTAACTTATACTACAGGCTTACATTACAAATAATTTAAATAAGTTTATAGAAATTAAATATTGAATGAGATATCAATGCATTGTAAAATATTTTTTATAATAAAAACAATAATAGTGAGCTAGATATTTTGAAAATAAATATTTAAATTTTTATACAATACATAAAGGATTTTTAAAATTAAATTATCATGGTATGATAATTTAATTTTAAATTTTAAATTTAAATTTAATTTTAAATTTTTTTCATTTAAACCATAATATCGTGATATGGTAAAGAAATAATGGTATTTAATTTCATAATCCTTTTAAATTAATATAATCTTACGTTAAAGTTTGTATCATTAGAATTCTAGGTGTTAAATTACTATTCTTCTCAATTAAAATATTAATCATTTTTAAAATATATTTAATTATCTCACTTTCAAATTGTTATCCAGGCTACGTTATATATATATTGTGGCTTAGGACTTCAATGTTTTAAATAATTTTTATTGAATTTTGATCCTTTTAACTTCATTTTAAACAATCTTATTCAATACATTTATGAAAAATTATCAGATGATTTAAATTCTCCTGCACTTATGTTGTCCTAACGAAAAAACTTTGCCAATAAAACAGTATAGTTTTTTAATTCATACAAAAGTTATGTTCAAATCATCTATCAAAGTCTGAAAAAACTAGAATTACAAATGAAAATTTATGCATTCAATTTTATAATATAAATATTTAAAGCTTAAGAATATATATATATAAAGTATAAAGCAAAAATATGTAGCATTGAAAGTGCTAATCCTTATATATAAACCATAATATCTATTAGAAAATAAGACTTGATAGGAATTGGACTAAATGAATGATGTGCTTATTGTTCTTCAAACAGGAAAAAATATATGTGTATATTATTATGTTTTTATAGATTTATGATAAAAGATTGCTTTAGACAATTTAAAGATAATTTATTTAATTTTAATATATGACAATGTGATAAATGATAAATTTACGAATTTCAGACATAAGTATATAAAAATTTCTTTTATCTATCGAGAGAAAGTCTATTCAACAAGTTTATTCAACTTTTTTCAGTATATTTGGTATAAAAATCTATTCAATATTTTTTAAAAGGTCTGATTTGCACATAAACTAAACTTGGACTGTAACCTCGTAGTGCCAGGCCCTAAGGCCTCACGCTTTTTTATATTATAGCTTAGGACCACCACCAGTCTGCCTGGCTCTTATTTTATTTACAAGTAGATTTAATTTAAATATATCATTATCAAAACTGTATAGTGGTAAATATATAGCATAAATTATTGACTTGGTTATATTAAATATAGAGATTCAAAAAATATTGTCATTATTATCACATATTTAAATCTATACTAATATAAAGAGGTAATGTTTGTATGTATGTAAGTTTATATGCAGCAGGTAATCTCCGAAACTACTCATCCGATTTCAAAAATTTTTTCACCAATATTTAGAATGGAACTTCAGGGTGGACATAGGCTGTATATTATTCCGTTAAACATTCATATAAATTAAAAGATATAATCTAGGTTAAGGCTTTTATGTCCAACAGATGGCGCTACGAGTACGACGCCCTAAGTTTGCTTTTCTGTGAGGCATTATGCTTTTCTGTGAAAATGAACTAAAGCAGATCATCTTCTATCTATCTATATAAATAAAAATGTAATGTTCGTTTGTTCCTACCGATTCCTTTGAAATTTTGACACAACGCTGCATTCGAATACGCACGTGTTTTTATATAATATACGTGTCGAAATTCCCCCCACTGAAGGGAGATGGTTAGGATTAAGGCTTACCGTAAAGAACTCTGCTTCTATTTATACTATTTTAGATGAGGTTTTTTGCGTTTTTGATTGCGTTTTAACAGGGTACGTCAAGAGAATGTACACTAAGAAGAAATTTTTCGAAAAATTCCCCCCCCCACGGGGGAAGTGTTATACATTTATAATAGATACATTTTGAGCCACAACAACGCGTGGCGGGGTCTGCTAGTATTAATTAAAAAAAGTTCTATCTATATTTTAACTCGAGCTTCTTAAACATTACCTCTAGTAAATAAATAAACATTATTCGTTATTACCATTTACAATTTTTTTATAAACATCACCTCTACCCTAAATTTAAGCTTTTTTTCTATTTTATAATAATTAAATTACTTAAAAATTTTTAGAATAAAATATCAAAACAGATGGCGCCACACGAAGTTTTAAATGTTGCCGGGAAAGTTACTCAACTCCTCTCTGGATTTTTTTAAAGCAATACAAACACTACTACCATATCGCCTTTATAACTATTTCATTCAGTTAATGAAAATATGTAATGGGAAGCTGACTCCAATTGTTCCTCTGCATCTTCCAATTTCATTGTATTATTTATTTCCTATTAAGTTGTTTAGTTAGCTTTTCCTAAAATTAAAATATCCTCGAAAGTAAAATAACTTTATGAGAAATTAGAAATCTTTCTTATTTAATTGTAAAGTTTGATCTAACATTAAGTACAAGGCCTAATGATATTTTGATGAAAAAACTTGTATATAACTAATACGATGAAATGATGATCTTACTTATCATTAATCTCTAATTTGATTTATTAAAAACGGATGAGACCTTCAAGTATCTCTCTTATCAATATTAATGAAAACTAAAGCTGATAAGGTATCAAATTCCTGTACCTCTACAACTCCAGGAAAAAGAATATTATTGCTATAAATTGTATATTTTATGAAAACGAATTTTCTCATTTATTTATCAAAAAAAGTTCTGAAGAAAACACGAATTAAATTCTTAATCAATTCGATATAAATTATTGAACTGATGAATAATCTGTAGTAGATACTTAACAGATGTTGCAGTTCCTATATAACTGATAGGTTTCTATATGCAGTATAACTTTCCTACAGGCGTAATATATTTTTTAAAATTATTATTTATCATTTTATACACTTGAAAGTTAGAAAGTGATGCTATAATACTGTGATGTTGATTAAGTATAGCTTTGAATAAAGTACCAGAGATGATACATTACTACTTAACTTTGTCTGCTGTGTATGATGGAAAAGAATTGTGAATTTTCTACAATAAATAAATTGTTCTCAAAAGGTACAGTAAGTTACAATGTATAGTAGGTTATACATTTCTGATTACTTTTGCTCTTATTTTAAAATTAAAGAATTATAACTCCGTGAAAGATTTTTAATTAAAATTTCGTAGTTAATTAAATATAGACCTACTTTTATCTTTTATCTTTTTATCTTTCAAATTTTATGTTTATCAACAAATCTTTCGTGTGAGATGAAATGTTTCAGGATGATGTTTATAATAATATATACGTGTTTATATTAACTGTTCTTTCATTTACTCTAGGTCAAATATTAATTTATATAATGGTTATAATAGCTCTTAGTGAATTTATGCCATGTCATCACCTTATTTTATTGCTATAATATAGATGTAAAATTTTATTTTATCTTGCACAGACTTGAATATTGTTTAATTTAAAAGTTTAGAAACTTCTTATACTAGATATTTTCATTTTCTTACACGTTTAAACATTTAAGTGTGCATATTAATTTACATTTTACGTATTTCCAATAACTTGCAAATACGCGTAATGTATCACAGAACTATAAAAAGAAATAATATAAAATATTCATTAAAATTTTTTATCTGTAAAATTTTTATGACAGAATTTATTTTCATTCATATTTACGTAGTAAAGGCTTCGACTTTCCGTCTCGAAAGACTGGAATAGATGTGACTTCTTGGTAGATTATTAGGCCTGGTTCTTCGGCTATTTTCTTAGTATCCTGTGTTACGATCGTTGGATCTGGTTGGAGAAACTGCGACCATCCAATAGACTTTTGGGAGGGCATAGTATGGATTGTGTTGATCTCAACTTTCTCTCTACTTCACCATAACGGTTTTTTCTAGTCTCATGCTTTGACTGAGCTATTCAGCATGATGCCGGAATAATCTACATGCAAGACCGTATTCGTCTTGTTCTTTTCCTTCCAGAACCACTAATGACTATTTCTGTTATTTTTCTTTCCACTCGTTCGAATTTGAGATTGAGTGGCATTTTCACTTTCACAGAATTATTAACACAACCCGCCGATCACATGCTTGAGAGATTATAAACTTGAAAGCAGACATTTTTAAAGCGAATGTCAATTTTTATTTTATATTTTCTATCATGACTAATGGTTTCAAGTCCGTTTAAAATGTAATGTAATAATTTTAAGGTAAAGAAAATACTAGTAATTATCGAGTATTTATTTAATTCTTTAATAAAATAATATAAAAGTTGATTATTAAAATATTTATAGAATATTAAATAACTATTCTTTATTGCGTTTTAATTCAATTTGTACTTCATTTTCCGATTTTCTTCGTAAGATGTGACGTGTGTGGCTGCAATTTAAAAGCAATAATATTGATTTGTTTTCAAAATATTCATTAATTTTTTTCCTTAAAAATTTTAAATTATCAATAAGTAAAACAGATTCTTAAATTACAAACCTTCCTATAACTTCTCCTTGCGCCAATGTATCTGTTAATTCCGAATCTTTAGTTTCTGGTAAGAATAATACCAAAGCAGCTCCAATAAGAGATATCGAACCAAATAATCCTAATGGTAAAGCTCTATGCACATCATTTCCTTTAAATTATTAATAAGTAAGGAAAGATTCTTAATTTTATTATGTTACAGACCTTCCTACAACTTCTCCTTGTGCCAACGTATCTGTTAATTCTGAATCTTTAACTTCTGGTAAAAATAATACCAAAGCAGCTCCAAGAAGAGCTATTGAACCAAATAATCCTAATGGAAAAGCTCTGTGTATACGGTCTGCCTGAAAAAATAGAAAACAAACTATATAAGTTTAATTAATTAATTTATATAAATGCATACTTATACAGTATATAGGAATATTTATAGAAATAAACGTAAGTTATACTATATATACTTACCCCTTCTTTCATAAAGGGAGCAATTACATTTCCTAATCTTCCCATCATTGAACACGCTCCTAATCCTACGTTACGAACGACAGTGGGGTAGATTTCCGAAGATAACAAATACACATTCATCACTGATAAAGCGAGGCTAAACTTCGAAATTATTGCCAAAGCAATAACAGCAGAGGAAATGCCTAAAACAATATTTAATTGTGTGTTATAGATTTAAAAATCTGAAAAAGTATGTGTCTACAAGTACATTACTTACTTTCGGGGACAGCAATAGCAATGAGACACGCCAACCCACTTATTATCATAAAAATAATTTGTATATGTCTTCTACCAATGAATTTTTGAAGGAAAAAACAAACGAATCCTGCAGGTATTTCTACTAAAGCAGCGAGGAAGAAGAACAAAAAAATATTTACTCCAATATCATCAGCTGTGAAAGATAATCCATAATAAGCTACCATAATCGAAAACCTGGAAGACAAGCAAATATTTAAAATTATTAATATTTTATTCGCTTCCTAAATTGTAAAAAAAGAAAAGAAAAAAAATCAGTGTATGAATAATAATTTTTTTTTATTTAAACAATTTTTACTAATGTAAAAAGTGCAAATTACATAACGTTTAAATTATATGCTATTCGCTTCAAATTAGTAGTGTCTTGCCCCTGTACATCATACTTTCCCTGTTAGCAATAGAGTCGTGCCGGTCATCTATCTAACTCCTTTCAGGGAAAAGATTTGAATTGAAATAACGTGATTTCATGTTTGCATCGGAAGTTCGTATATAGTTAATCTGGGCCTTCTACTTTTATGCTTTCCATCCATATTTTGTCTCGGCTTTCATCTACCTAACTCTGATTAAGGAAGGATAAACAGAGGGACGACAATGGAAATTTATAGGTCTACAATTTTTTCAAATTGCATCCCAATGATACATACCAAATTATAAACAGTATTAAAGTAAACCTTCTTAAATTCGGACATTTCATTATATCAAAAAATGTTACGCGCTTGTTATCCTTTCCTTCGCTCTCCTAAAATAAATAAATTAAATAAATTAAAAATAATGAAATAAATTATTGCACGTCAGAAACTAATTTAATTACTTTTATAATTCTTTCACTTATCGACTTTAATTTTTGAGTCAAATTTTCAACATTTCGTTTATTCACTTTAATTGCTTTCGTAATTATTACTTCAGCTTCTTCAACTCTTTCTTGAGAAAGAAGCCATCTTGGAGATTCTGGTGTGATCCTATGTCCAAAAACATAAAAGTTTTTTTTACTGATATTAAAATCCTTAAGCTGGATATCCACACGAACGATTTTCCCGCGACATGCCAGCACATTATCACGTGATTTCCGTGTGATTCTCACTGACAATATCCATTCGCACTTCGCAATGCCGAAAGCGTTCAAACTGTACGGCGACATCGCTCTTGCGGATATCCAGCTTTACAAAAATATTAATAGAAATAGTTACCACCACAACGGAAGAATAACGATAAAAGTTAATACAGTTATCAATTCCAGATAAAACCAATCTCTCAAAAGCCAAGCCAGCCCCGGAAGCATCATTTGTCCTATTCCCCATCCTATTTTATCACATAATCCTACGACGACTCTGTATTCTTTTCCAACAACTTCCAGTACTATATATTAAATATATTAATTTAAAAAATTATATATAAATATGGAAATTTTAGAAAAAATATATTTACAAAGGACATATATGATTAAAAATGAAGATCCTCTTCCAATTGCAAGAATAAATCTACATGCTGCAAATAACCAGAAATTTTGAGAAAATGTAGATATCAAGCCGAAGATAGATGTCCATATCATACATAAATAAAGAATGGGTTTTCTTCCAAATCTATTTATAGAAAATATTATTCCAAATATTAAAATAATTCCTTAATTACATATATCAAATTTTATCTGTTTAATATAAAATTCAGAAACTTACTTGTCTGATAATTGTCCTCCAAGAGGAACACTTATTAAAAATCCCAAAAAATAAAGAGATTGAGCTAAAGATGGTAACCAAGACTTATCACATACTAAATTCCACTGAAAGTTAAAAGATTTGTTAACATATATTTTTTTCTAATATGAAATAATTGAATTTAAAATATATAATCATATTAATATATTAAAAATCTTTAAATTTCTTACTTTTTCGAGTATGGTGGATCTGTAAAATGAATGATCGTAATCCCATGATTTGCACGGTATTCGAGTTCTATTTTCTTCCTCTATGGAACTATACATTTCACACTTGCTGTAAGATTGTTTATTGTTGTTTATTACTATGGGAATGCTATCATTTTTCCATTCATCCATCGACATATTAGAAAATTCCGGTGGTTTTGCACACCAATAATCAATATTCGGTGCCAAGAAAGTCATTCCGAAATTGTACCATGCGGCAGGAAAATTTATGTATATAATAGAAATCATCATTATTGATTGCCATTTACCCCAATGTCCAATTATATCGGTTACATCTTCTGATTTTTCTTGTTTATTTTCACTGTATTAATAATATATATATATTAATAATTTTAAGTTATGGCCGAATTCACAAACGTGACGTTACTAAAATAACGACGAGATTTTATTGTTGTAAGGTATAAGTATGTTTGAATTCACGTAACATCTCGTTAATCTGAATTGTTATTTTACAACAGAAGAGGTGTCGTTATTCAAGATGGCGGAATAAACTTTATTTTCGAAGTTGACCGTGAGCTAACATTTGCGGCCGTTGTATCGAGTTTAACCATTGATGATATCATTGTTTTTTAAACTTATTTGTTATAATCAGGCTCTTGTTTCAAAAAAATCACTGCCGGTACGAATATATGGTGACTGAACACATACAACATTTATTTTTATTAAGCTTTAGATCCTTTTGAGAATTCTTTTGTTTAGCTGTCGGTATGAAGTTCAGGCTTAAAGATGGCTCCGGTTATAATTGCTTCTTCCATAATTATCATCAGTCAACAAGATAGCAAAGCTTCTAATTTCTTACTGGCAGTAGCCAACGGATTTTTATCCTCCATAAAAAACGCTATTTCATTGTTATCAATATGATACTCTCACTTTGTCAATCGTATGTACGACAGTCGTTAAACTGTTATTAACGACACTTTCGTGAATTCAGCCCATAACCAGTATTTAAAATTTAAGAAATTTATTTTAATAAATTATTATTTTTATAGCTTGTATATTTAAAAAAATAATATTCACTTACTTGTGAACTTTATCAGATGAAATAGCCATTTCTGAATTTCTGTTGCACAGATGTATACATAAATCAAATCAGTTAAAATATGATTTATTAATCTTGGTAGATGAACCTGAATAAGACATTTGATTTATGACAAAGGTAACACATATCTGTTAATTAATACATTCTCAAATAACATATTATTATTGAATGATTCATTGGCAAGCATATTAGTTACGAACAATCTTCGACTTGCTAGGATCTAATTTGCGGTCGCATATCCATGATACACGGGCCGCAAATTAGAGAAACTAATAATTAATTCTATAAAAATTATTTTTAATGAAATCTCACAACAGATGGCATCACACATGTAAGTTATAAGTGCCGGAAAAGTAGTATAACAGTCCTTGCCAACTTTTACTTTTCCGGCTTTTCTTTTCTGATGATTGCAGTACTGTGGAGCGGATCAGTTTCCGCTGAGAGCTCAAAGAGGCCCAGGAATGTTATGTATGATAGCATATACTGTTTACTAGTCCTGTGTAATGCTCATAATGTCCCTTTGTGAAGGGTTCATAAATTACGTGTTTTATGTGGTCTGTTAACTTTATTATGTGTGTTATTTATAATGCGAATGCTTTTACACCTACCGTTCCTATTGTACTAAGAAGAAAATAAGAGTGATAGTGTTAGTCAGAAGAAACCTGACCTAACCAAATTTTCTGGATTTTCCAGTTCTGTCGAGGAAATGAAGAAGAAGCAATGAAGAATCCAATGACGAAAAGCTCCAGAAACTTTAGAATGGTAAATTAGTGAGGGACTGGTGTTGCTATAAACAAAGCTAGTAAATGCTTAAGGGAAACTGGCCCCTAATTAGGAGAATGTGGAGGAACCGTAAAACTCCACATGACCAGCCCATTGGCATGCCAGAAAAGTAACAATCCTGTTAAGTGTGTTCTTCTTCATTAGCATACCGAGAGAAATACTGCAGATTTATACGCATTTAAACGTTTTCGTATTCCTCAGTCAGTTGTCTGGGCACCCACCTAGCACACACTTTTTGGAAGTTCAAACGATCATGCACTATGACGTATTAACATATGTCATAGTGCATGATCGTTTGAACAACCACACCCTACTGCGGCTGTAATATTGCCTATCGTTGTTTACCAGCCATCTCGAATCATCTCCTCAACCCGTCGCACTGTTGTTTTCGACGCAATTTCTTTAGGACGACCAGATCAGTATTCATTCACAACATTTGTTAGTCTTTGTGAGAATTTAAAGATCCAGTCAGACCCCAATTGTGCACCGTTTTTCACGACAAACACTTCTAACCATAATTGATAAATTTCTTCATAGATGTCTTTCGCAAAAGATCCTTTTGTCCACAAAAAACGCATAATGACGCATTGTTCTTTTACAGTACTAGTGCGACTGCTACCTGCCGAATGATGACTGATAAGCTGCTATTTATTTACATATTCAGAAACTACTGAGTCTTATCCGCAGCCATCCCATATTAGTTTTATGTCCTACTTATTGACTTTTCCTCGTATTTCGAAGGATATAATGTTAATCAAGTAATAACTTTATTTATAAGTAGTAGTGATTAGTCAGAGAACTTTATGATGTCGCCTTGTATTTACAAATATAAAAATAAATATTTTTGTTAATATGGTAACTTTTTGGTAACTTTAAAATGGTAACTTTGTAGTTAAACAACAAAAAGTATAAATATGAACATTTCTCAAATGAATTAATTGCTCACTTCTATTATTACTTTCTCGGCTGTTACATACAACAGAGGGAAAGTATGGCGATCAGTTAAAAAAATGACAAGATTTTTACATTTTTTGAGCTCAGGATATCTTGAAACGTCGAGAAATGAAAAAAATTGGGTTTTTCTGGATGTTTGTGTGTGGGACACAATTTTGTTCATCTTATTTGAAACTTAATAACTCCTGTGCTTTTGATCAAAAATTTCTAAAATTTTGCAGGGAAATTTTCTTATTAGAAGGATTAATTCTATTAAATTTTGATGATTAAAGATCGAGGGGTGGGGAGATAAAGGAGGTCGTGTGTATCTCCAGTAGGGTCCGATTTTACTCGTTATTAGCATTTACAGCCTTTTGTAAAACCAACCCTACCTTCAAAATTAAGCTTTTTGCATTTTATTATAGTTAAAAATATAAAAAGATTTTAAAATAAAATAAGATAACAGATTGCGCCACCAAATATTGCCGGGAAAGCTAAGCAACTCGTTGCTGGATTTTTTCTTAAGGAATTGTGTTGCTTGTAAAATATTTAAAAAATCTTTTTTATGTTGATTATTTTATACTATTATGTAAGTGAAAATGACTATCAAATCAATAATAAATTAAAGTTATACAGTATCAGATCTCTGGCAGGTTAAGAAAGTAAGTTAAAAAGCAAAATAGAATCGCATTATAATGGAATATGTCGCCATTATTATCGTCATGAATAGAAATCATTTTCATCCCAAACAACTATAAACACGAAAGTAATTAGGAAAATATATAATTACAAAATATATGAAGATTATGACAAACTTTTAACTCGAAATGTGCATTAAGTTTTTGAAATCGTAGACTAAAATCTCCAAAGAGAAAAAGAAGTAATGGAGGCACTTTTGGTTTGCGGGAATGTATGGTCTTTTATGATTGGTTGATTGTAACTTAGATCATGTGTTAGATGAAACTCTGATTCTGATTGAGTATGTATGACATTTTTCGATGCTTATTCTTATATAGGCATACGTTACGGTAAAAGTGATTAATCCGGTAATTTATACATAATCGCCGGCTATTATGCATAATCCATAACGATCTTGATAAATGTGATAAATTTCTTTCATATGTTGCAAATTAATCTCATTTACCAGTACACACTATCCAGTTCGTAGTGGTAAATATAATAAATCATAATTTATCAAATTTATTGACCTTATGCATAATCGCTAGTCTAGGATGATTAATTTGATGTCAAGTGTACTTCATTGATATGCAGTCTTACTCCAACATTGTAAGTTTATACTTGTATATCAAGACCACTTAAGAAAGTTTGTTTGTTTGTCCCTTGAAAATTAAACGTGCAGAGAAAGTGGCCCGTGTGTTGATAGATACTTTCACAATTTTCGGGGTTCCTAGCGTGTTACAAAGTGACAATAGTCGTGAATTCTATAACCAAGTTATAGAAGGAGCGTACGCAATGTGAACTGAGCTGAAAATCGACACGGTAAATCGAGACAGTCAGTCTGTATGTTAGGGTAGGTTAGGTTGAACGTGCACACCAGGACGTTGAGAACATGCCAAGCTCATATATAGTAAGCAATCAAACCTAACACCTGATGAGGGATTACAATTTGTGCAGTTAATAAAGAATAAATTATATTATCAAGGCATTAAGTGTAGGCCTTATGAAGTCATGTTTGATTCACTCTTAAAAGTTGGGCTGAAAACATCCTTTCCTAATTATGCTGTATCAGATGCTCGCACCAAAAAGTAACATAAACCGTAACATAAATATATATTATAGACTACTTATATACTAGAATAAATAGGCTATAGGCTATATAAAAATGTCACACAATAGAAAAACTTTGCCGAAAATTTACAGCAGTTCTATGAGAATTATAATTATTAGTTATATAAGTAACAAAAATATAAAAGGTAATAATATGCCTACATTTAAATAAAATTATGCTGATTGTTTATAGGATGGTGATAAGTTATTTTTCTGAATTCTTTTGAAATTGCATTTGAATATTACTCAAATTTCGTGTTAGGTAGAAATTAAGTTGCAACATAAATTAGACACAAAAGGAATAAGAAAACTGATGAGTCAATTTTGTGTAAAATATGAAATTTGTTATTTTGCTTTATTGCTATATTATCATATTTGATTATTAAAGAACTGAATGTGTTTATAGTTTTCTAACAGAAAATACAAACGTAGACAACATCGTTATACATTTAAATTATTTTCTGTGAATTTTACACTTTTATATTTCTGTAAATTATTTACAGTACCGAACAATACACGGTAACTTGCAAGAAACAATAAATATACTCCACACTTCATTAAATTGACAGAAAAGCAATGAGTCACAACTGGAATTAAATGCATAAAAGATATTTAATTTTTTTTACTTTTTACTATTTGCCTTGCAGACACTACGGGGGGGGTAAGAGGGCCTTTTAGTCATACTTATCGTGGATTCGATCAGGCCTACAATGAAACCAGATGGTGAGAAACAGAGCCGACAGATCGCGGTTTGTCCT